AGTGCAAATGAGCGAAGTATTGATGCATTATATAGCCTTGGATATCCCATCATCCAGGGAGCCCTTTCAACCATACTGGGTGTGGTTGTATTGGCTGCTGCAGCAAGTTACATATTTAGGACATTTTTTAAAATCATGTTTCTTGTCATAACATTTGGGGCTGTTCATGGTCTTATATTTCTGCCTGTGTTTCTAACATTTAGTGCAAGCTGTGGAAAGTCAAACAGCGCAAAATCAGACAACTTAACAAACTTGCCGGGAAACAATGTCTATTCTGTTGAGGCATGTGAACAAAAGATGACAAGTGTCTTCAAACCATTTAGAGGCATTGCAGATGGACTAGATCGTGACTGTCCCTGTTTCTCCATTCCAAACGTCCTCAACAACTCATCCACTTCTCATGGCAGCATCCCTTGCAATCGCGTGACATGTAACACCCGCCCTTTTAGCCCACCTGTCCTGACTTCCCAAGGCCCCCAACATTCCTTCCACTTGAAGCAACAATCTTCCTAAACTTCTTTCAATTTCACCTACTGTATTTGCTGTGCACAGTGTGGGTTCCTCAACACCGGGGAGACCAAAAATGAACTTGGTGAGTACTTTACAGAACACCACTGCCCAGTTCATGAGCATGACCCCAGCCTTCAGCTGCCTGTCATTCTAATTCACCCCCTTTCTCTCACACTGACATTTCTGTCCTGCTCTGGATCAATCTTTGTTCACTAGAACCATTAGTACTCTCTTAGCCTTCTGATCCTTGACATCTTTGTTGTTTAATTTCTCCCACCCCTGTATACAACCACTGACCTTCCCTTTCATTCTACCTGACCCTGTCCACTTTTCTCCAGTATAAAATCCATCACATTTCTACCGCTCTTCACCTCCAAAGAAGAGCCATGTTAAATGTGAAACGCTGTCCTGTCTCCACAGATGTTCTGTCTCCACAGATGTTGCCTGACCTTATTGGTTGTTCCAGCACTTTCTGTTTTTATTCCAGATTTTCCATAGCTCCCTAGGATGTTTTGATGACATTTTAACAAGAAATGCCATGCAACAATGGATAGGACCATACCTGGAACTTGTAAAGAGTTTCTGTCCGTGGTTTTAGCAGACATATTCCAATAATTAAATGCAATGTTTATTGGTGGTACTTTGAATTTTGCTGTGAAATATAATTATTTTCTCCCTTTTCTGTTTTATTTCTATTTCCTTATTAATGTTCTTTCTCTCTTCTCTATTCTTTGTTTTTATCCCTATATTTTTCTTCTTCTTGATCAGGTGAATTTAGTCAAAACATTAAAATTCAGGGGCAGAAAAGTCAATTTGGAACATCATTTATCGATATCGGATTGTCTGCTTTCATGACAACAGCATAGGTTTAAAAGCAATTCAATGGCTGTATTGAGCATCTGGTATGGCAGTATACAAATACAAGTTGTTTTTTTCCCTGAATGTACCTGCCATGCAGTTATGGATCCTTTACAAAGTAATAGCATACTGATGTGGTTAAATGACCAGAAATTGAACTTCAGATGAAAACATTAATATTTACTTGTCAACACCTTAAGATGTGTGATGAAATTATTCATCCTACAAAACAATTAATCAACAAGTGTTGAGCATGGAGACATTTATTGTGTTGTAGGATGTCAAAGCAAAATATCTTTATAAATTTTGTGTGATGATTTATAGAATTCTAGAAGCTGTCTGTGTCAAGTAACAAGGAATAATTCTCCTATTTTACATTTGAGCAGAACGTCATCTATCAGTAGACTCAATTCGATATTTGCCTGATATCAGTGTGACTCTTTTCTTCCTGGGGTAGTGAAATTAGCACGTTATGCCTTGGGCACACATCTTTTAATGTTTCACTGGAATGTTACAACTTCTGAAAAACACTTTGTTGAATATTTCAAGACATTTTACAACATAATTTCTATCAGATGATGTGTTCATTTTTTTAATAAGTTACAATAAAGTGAAAACCTGGGCATCATGGGGCTTTTATGATTTCTAATAAGCAAAATCAGTGTTTTGTTCATGTTAGAGTGTACAGAATAATTTTATAGAAATGATTAAAATAGTCATTCAACTCGTTGAATATTTATTTGAGTTCTACAGTTTATGGTGTTACAACTTTTTAAATAACATATTTTACCAAACAAAAACACATTATACTCACCAATGCTGCACTATACATTTATTTGTTGTCTAACTTTATATAATTCAGAGGTTTTCATTGCTATCTTTTACAATTATGTTGCATGGTAATATGAATCCAATTCAGCATTAATCCAGATGTTAATGTAAAAGATCTATGCAATACTCCCTCCAGCAATATTTTGGTGTCCAGGAGTGCTCACGGTATTCCAGCTTTTATAGAGTAGCAGCATGACTTCTAAATCTTTGCATTCTAGTCCTTTGGATACAAATGTCAATAATCCATTTGCCTTTGTGATTATTGTTGTACCGACTTGTGACATTTTAATGATTTATTTATCAGGGCCTCTAAGTATCTTTGGACCTCCACTGCTTCTAGCTTTTCATAGTTTTGTAAGTATTCTGATATATCTTGCGATCCAAAGTGGACGTTTTCACAATAGTTTGCCTTGAAATCCATCTACCGCAATTTTGTCTATTCATTGAATCGATTAACATCCATTTTTTAATTCTCTTATGGCATTTGCCTCACTGGCTGGACCAGTATTTATTGCCCATCCCTAGTAACCCTTGAGAAGGTACTGATGGGCTGCCTTCTTGAATTGCTGTAGTCCACGTGCTGTAAGTTGACCACAATGTCTTTGAGAGGGAATTCCAGATTTTTAACCAGCGACAGTGAAGGAACAGTGATATATTTCCAAGTCAGGATGGTGAGTGGCTTGGAGGGTAACTTTCAGTTGATGGTATTACCATTTATCTGCTGCCCTTGTTGTTCTAGATGGAAGTGGTCATGGGTTTGGAAGATGCTGTCTCAGGAGCTTGGGTGAATATCTGCAGTGAAGATAGTACACACTGCAGCTACTGGTTGTCGGTGGTGGAAGGAGTGGAGGCTTGTGGATGTGTTGCCAATCCAGTGGCTGCTTTGTCCTGGATGTTGTCAAGTTTCTTGGGTGTTGTTGGGCTGCACTGTTCTAGATAAATGGGGAGTATTCCATCACACTACTGACATATAGATGGTGGACGGGCTTTGAAGTCTCGCCTCCAGTCAGGCTTTCGGGAGTCAGAAGGTGAGTTACTCACTGCAGTATTCCTAAGCTGTGACCTCCTGTTGCAGCCACTGCATTTATGTGGCAAGTCTAGTTGAGTTTTTGGTCAATGGAAACCCCAAGGATGTTGATAATGGGGTTTCAGTGATGGTAACACTATTGATGTCAAGGAGTGGATTGTTAGATGTCTCTAACTGGAGATGGTCATAGCCTGGCAATGCATGGCACAATTTAACACTTGCCAGTTGTCAGCCTAAGCCTGGATATTGTCCAGATTTCGTTGCACTTGAACCTGGACTGCTTCACTATCTGAGGGGTTGCAAATGATGCTGAACATTGTGCAATCTTTAGCAAACATCCCCACTATGACCTTAATGACCTTGAGTTCATTAACGAAGCCGTTGAAGATGGTTGGGCCTTGGACATTACCTTGATGAACTCCTGCAGGGATGACCTGGAGCTGAGATGATTAATTTTCAATAACCACAACCATCTTCTTATATGCCAGGTCTGACTCCGACCAGCAGAGAGTTTGTCCCCTGTTTCCCATTGATTCCAGTTTTGCTAGGACTAGTTGATGCCATATTTCCTTGAGTACAGCCTTGGTGTCAAGGGATGTCACTCTCACCTCGTCTCTTGAATTCAGCTCTTTCATCCATGTTTGAACCAAGGCTGTAATGAGATCAGGAGTTGAATGGCCCTGGTGGAACCCAAACTGGATATCAGTAAGCAGGTTGTTCATGTTGATTTAAAATCCTTAATATATCTTATTTGGTTCCAATGCCTGATCAAATTTAAATACTACCAGTCTATCCAATAGTTCTTCCTTATTAAGTTTGAACCGTTCTAGTGACCGAGTTTCATCCTCTGTCATCATGGCCTGGGCAGTATCCTCGTTTTTTGCAAAGACAAAGTATTCATTTATACCTTTTCAATGCTTCTGTCTCCATGTTTAAATCACCTCCTTGGTCTCTATTCAGCCCTACTCCTCCTATAACCACTCTTTTACTATTTGTAAGCCTACAGAAGACTTTGGGATTCCCATTTTTGTTAGTTGCCAGTCTTTTCTCATAATTGAGTTGAAACCACAATCAAATCAGCCATGATCTTATTGAATGGCAGAGCAAGTTTGAAAGGCCACAGGACTGAATGCCTACTCCAAAGTCCTATGTCCCTGTGCCAACTTGTGCACCATCATCTTAAGCAAATGACAACTATATTTTCAGGTAGCACTCGTGATAGATTGTTCTCAATCAGCCTATCACAGTACAGACTAACATGAACTACAATGGCTCAAGTAGGCAGCTCAATACCACTCTCTCAAGGGTAATCGGGAATGACTAATAAACGCTGGCCTTGCTAATGACATCTGTATCGCGTGAATGAAAAGAATGACAAGGTGTCAGAGACCCTGACTGTTTGACAGGAAATGCTATTTAAAAGGTACTTGCTCGTTACGCCGTTTGCTTAATGGATTCCCCAATGTTTTTGTTTTCTGCCTTACCGTGCACACCCCTCAACCCCCAACGCCCCACCCCCCCGGGGTTAAGCTGTCACAGAATTCGAATCATTTTAGTTTCATTACTTTGGAGGAGGTTAAGTAGCTGTAATAGCAGCAGCTACAGCAGTCAGTATGCAGAGCAATGAGAAGATGGCAGGTGAGGCAAGTGCCTGTAGAAGCCTGAATTTGGTCAACATACGGCATATAGGTCATGAAACAATTTCCAAATATTTCTGAAGTGGAATATTTCAAGTCACCAGATAGGCTATACAGCTTCCTGAACCAGTTGCTATTCAATGATGATCTAGATAGCAGTACTGTGCCAATGAGTAACTCAGATGCCTTCCAGGCTGTTACACGCAGTTCTGCCTGCATTTCCAGGTCAGCAATACACAGCAACATCAAGGCGGATACTGGGATGGAGACAAAGTATCACCTCTCACATGATGAGAACACTAAAAAATCAGGTATGAGATTTACAGGAATAGCGTTTGCAGATATCATTCTTGTATCCATCAAAGCACCAACAAATGAGCCAGAGGTAGTAGGAGCTGCAGATGCTCGAGAATCTGAGATAACAAGGTGTAGAGCTGGATGAACATAGCAGGCCAAGCAGCATCAGAGGAGCAGGAAGGCAAACAAATGAGCCAGCAGTTTTTGCCATCCAATTAAAATCCAGTTGAAGAAGGATCGCAAATATCTGGGCTAGTTTGGCAGGTTTCCTGCAGCACTCACTTCTAACACTTCCCAACTCTTTCAGAGAATACCAGTTTGGGGCCAAGGTTGCTGCACACATAGCTGATGAT